ATAAGTTCCATGAACCTATTCCAAAGAAAATTCTATATTTAAATTTATTATTTACAATTTGAGTTTCCACATCATTTCGGTCTTCAACATGCTGCAAAATAACTTCTCGATTTGCCTCTACAACATCATGCACATCATAGTCTACAAAGTGATCATAGGAGGCCAATTGCTGCCTTACAATTCCACGATACTCAAAAAAGGCTGAAATTACTGCCCAACATTCTTCTTGAGAAAGATCAGGCTCATTTTCCTCATAATTTTCTTTATAAAACAAGAAAAAAAAAACAAGCATCACACATGAGTTCTTACGTAAAAAATAAAGTTTTGATTCTTCAAATATTTTAATATAGCTTAGTAAGAATAAAACTGTCAAGAACAAATCACTACCCATAGCATTTTGATAAACATCGACACCATTTTCTTGTCCGACAATTCTATTAGCGGTTTCACTCATGTTTTCTTTGAGTTACAAAGTAAATTGTGCAAAATAATGAAAGGAAACAAAAAAAAAATGTATGATCTAGAATATTGTCTCTAACTAGTTCTTGGTACGCATCGTCTTTATGTCACGTTGAATTCCTTTTTTTTCATGCGCATGAAAGATATACGTCATAATTATGGACTCTCGTCATCCGATTTATATAATAGAATTAAGTTGCTCTTTGATTTATCTATCTAGTTTATAGTCGAAATATATTTATCGTGAAAATGTTAAAGAATTATTTATGATTTCGTTAAAGATCTAAACCAGTTTTATGTTACAGCAGAGACAGTTAATGTTACACATATATTAAAACTGGTGAGGGATTATATTCATCACAATTGAATCCAACATAAATAATTTAATTTGTGATTGATCACAGGCGAGAGGGATTCACTTTGGATCGGGCACTGTCTCTGCTGTAGTTTTATGTTAATATGAAGCTGATGGCGTTTGATTAATTTGATAAACATAGACGATTATTAAGAATTGTTGACAAAAGTAACAAAAGACTATATTAAATTTAGTTGACTTTATCTATTTATATTGAGACGAATCAGGATAACTTTTTCAAATCCTGCTGTCTCTGTAGCAACTCATACTGAAGCTGACGGATCTGTCAACAGGATATGGCCACATGAAGCGCGTTTGAGAAATCTAACGTGAGGCATATCGAATTTGACTATTCCAACTTTTTTTAATTTTATACTTAAACCTAATATTTAAATTCAATATCGATAACATATACATATAACATTTTCCAGTTATTCTTGTCCGGTTTATGTTGATGTAACTTGTGGAACAGCTGTAGTCCCTTGGACTGAAGCAACATCCAGCACATTCCATGAATTATGTGATGCGAACGAGACTGTTCTCACGCAGACAGCTTTCATTGGAAAAGTATATAATAGCAAATTTTGACACTGATGCAATGAAATCAATGAGTGATATTATTTTAAGTTAATGATTTTGATATTAGATTCCTGTGATGATTCGATCCAAACATTGTAATTTATATGAAAAAACAGACTATGAAATAACAAGTTTGCAGGAATGCCCGTATGATCAGGTAATTAAAAAATAATAATAAATTGTTTAGCACAATGATTAAGTCATTTGCATTTTACAGGGTGGTTATTTTATCATCAATGGTTCGGAAAAAGTATTGATTGCTCAAGAAAGATTAGCAAGCAATTGCCTTTTTGTTTTCAAGACACCATCACCTTCAACCCATACACATACAGCTGAAATAAAAAGTACTAATGAAAAAGGTGATGTAAGAACGGTACAACTTCTATTGATGGAGAGGTCCGGTGAAATTGGGGTAAAGTTCTTTCAAGAGCATTATCAAATCTACATTTGATCAGTTGAAGACTTGTTGCAGATTGATGATTTCATATTTATTTTTTTTATTTAGATTACAGGTCATTTTATACATGCGAGAATACCTTTCGTCAAGAAAGAAATTCCGGTAAAAGTTCTTTTTTTCGCACTTGGTGTTACAAATGAGCAGGACATTATGTCCCGTATTTGCCTCGGTGTACGTAACCATGATTTAGAAGAAGCGGTGAAAACTTGTTTTGAAGAAGCGTTTGCGATCCAATCTCGAATTGTAAATATATATATATATTCGATTTAGTATGTTGAATAAAATGGTATCGTTTAGTATAAATATTTTTATAATTAACAGGTGGCATTGGATTATATTGGTCGTAGAGCAAGTCCATCCGGTGCTGGCCAAGAAAGACGAGTGGAGTATGTATGACATGATCATATTATAATATTTATTTTCGTGGATGGTTAATTCCAATCTTAATGAAACAGGCACGCCAAATTGCTCATGCAAAAGGAATTCTTGCCTCATATTGGAACAGAGCCCGGAAGCTTAAAACGAAAGTCTTATTATTTAGGTTACATGATACACAGACTTTTACTTTGCGCTGTTGGAAGTCGACAATTAGATGATCGAGATCATTTGGGAAAAAAAAGGCTAGATACGGCTGGTACTCTTTTACGTAATTTATTTTCAAGCGTTTATAAAAAAATGATTAGAGAAATGACCGAGCACCTTAAGAAGGTTAGTTGTTCATATATAGTGAGTCTATAGAAATGCACCAAGTTATATATATATTTTTTTGAAATTTTAAACAATAATAACTTAACGAAAACTTAATGAAAACTTTTTAAAAACTTGTAGAGTTTATTTAAAATTATTTTATTAAATTCGTTTAAGCTTTTGTTAAGTTATTAAATTTGGTGCGTTTCCATAGACTCACCCATATCGTCTTTTTTTTTTTTTTTTTTTTGAAGATATTAATTTTATTAACATTATTCAGGTCTTGGCAAATAAACGCGAATTTAATATAACTATGGCAATTAAACCACAAACAATTACCAATGGATTAAGATATTCGATGGGGACTGGTAATTGGGGTGACCAAAAAAGGTCGATGCAGGTATAATATTTAAACCAATTCGTATTACTTTTTTTTTCATAGACATGATGACATTTTTACATTTTTATTTTAAAACTTTTGTAGTCTAAATCTGGTGTTTCCCAAGTGTTGAACCGATATTCTTACTCATCGACTTTGTCACATCTCAGAAGATGCAATGCACCAATTGATCGCGATGGCAAAGTTACGAAACCACGTCAACTCCATAACACACATTGGGGATTCATATGCCCTGCCGAAACTCCCGAAGGACAAGCGTGTGGTCTAATGAAAAACTTTTCCTTGATGTCATATATTTCTGTTGGAGAGTCTTCAAAATTATTAATTGATCATATTAATGAAACTGGAACGTTACAAGCTTTCTCGCAGACTGATGACATTCTTCAAGACATATGTACTAAGACAAAAGTTATATTAAATGGTAATTGGGTTGGAGTAACACGCTCTCCTGATGATATAGTCATTTCATTAAAAGAAGCAAAGAAAGCATTTTGTGAAGATATTAGTATAGTAAATGACGTTAATGATAGGGAATTAAGGATATATTGTGATCCTGGGCGAGTTTGCAGACCACTATTCGCAGTTCATGATTCTTCATTAGTGATAACTCATGACCATATTCGAAAGCTCGATCTCACCGTAAGTGTTTTTAATGAAGCGAATTAAAAAATTAAGTTATTAAAGTATGGTTGGCTTTTAGAGGACAGAACAATTGGAAGATGATCATGAAGATTACCTTGATTGGGACCGTTTGATTCAAGAAGGGTGCATTGAATATCTTGATGCTGAAGAAGAAGAAGTATCATTGATTTGTATGACACCAGAGGATTTAGTAGAGGCAAGAAATAAATGGGGTTATGCATTTTTGGATATGCAACCTCCACCAATGAAAAAACGCAGTTTATTTGAGAGAATGAAGACTACACCAGCCTTCACAGATAGATGGACTCACTGCGAAATCCATCCGAGTATGATTTTGGGAATATGTGCCAGTCTTATTCCATTTCCAGATCATAACCAGGTATTTTTTTTTTCTGAAAAAAAAAACAATTATTTTTTTATTATCTAAATTACCTAAATTTGTTACATTTATTTCAGTCACCTCGTAATACTTATCAATCGGCTATGGGAAAACAAGCCATGGGCATACATGCTACTAATTATCAATTAAGGATGGATATCACATCAAACATTTTATATTATCCACAAAAACCGTTAGTAACAACTAAAGTTATGGAATATCTTAAATTCCGAGAAATGCCTGCCGGACAAAATGCTATAGTTGCTATTCTTTGTTATGGAGGATACAACCAAGAAGATTCGATTATTATGAATCAAAGTGGCATAGACAGAGGATTATTTAGAAGTTTTACATTTAGAAATTATCAAGATTCTGAAAAGAGAATGGTATTTATAAAAATTTTCTACTATTATTTTATTCAGTTATTCAATAAATTTTATTCTATGCAGGGTGTTTTATCTGTTGAAACTATTGAAAGACCAGATCCGCAATATACAATAGGTCTAAAACATGGAAGTTATCATAAACTTGGAGAAGATGGTGTTATTATTCCAGGAATAGCAGTGTCAGGAGGTGACATTCTGATTGGAAAAGTGACGCCACTCCCACCCGATGTTGCTATGCTAGGTCAAAGATCTGATACGCAGATTAATCGTGACATATCTACTATGTTAAGATATGCAGAAATCGGTTATGTTGACCAAGTATTACTTGGTTCAAATCAAGAAAACGCGAAATTCGTCAAAGTTAGGATTCGAAGTACACGAATTCCAGAAATTGGAGGTATATACATATTTATCTAAGCATTAATTTCATCCAAGCATTAATTTCATCTAAGTATTAGTTTTAAGATATATTGTCTTTATTAAATGATATACTCTAACAATTTTTAAATGACGCTGATCATTACAGACAAGTTTGCCAGTAGACATGGACAAAAAGGCACTATTGGTATGGTCTATCGCCAAGAAGACATGCCTTTCACTCGTGAAGGAATAATTCCTGATATCATAATAAATCCACATGCCATACCAAGTCGAATGACAATTGGTCATTTAATCGAATGCTTGATGGGAAAGGTAGTTAATTATATTATATACATATATATGTTTTTGTTCATAAAAGATTAGTCGTAATAATTAATGTTCAAATAAATAGCTCTCGGTTTTAACCGGTAACGAAGGTGATGCGACACCATTTACCGATGTAACTGTTGAAGATCTCTCAAAAAATTTAAGAGAACAAGGTTACCATTCGCGCGGATTAGAGGTTATGTATAATGGTCATACAGGAAGAAAATTGGTTGCGCAGGTCTTTATTGGTCCAACATATTATCAACGACTGAAGCATATGGTACATGATAAAGTACAGTATGTATTTTTTTTTTTTTCCGAACTTGAATGAATTTAGTTTTTAATTAAATATTATATTCATCATTAAATATTATATTCAACAGTTCTCGTGCACGTGGTCCCGTTAATATTTTAACTCGTCAGCCAGCTGAAGGACGAAATCGTGAAGGAGGATTACGTTTTGGAGAAATGGAACGAGATTGTATGATTTCTCATGGCACTGCGTTATTCTTAAAGGTACAATTAATTTTTACACTCTGGTGTTGATTGTTGTCATTTTATTGTAAATATGAAATAATTTGTATGATTTCTTAACAGGAAAGATTATTTGATGTATCAGACCCTTTTTATATCCACGTATGTGACATATGTGGCCTTCCGGCGATTGCAAAACCATCCAAAGGAATTTATGAGTGTAAAATTTGCAAGAATTCTGTAATGGTAAGTGATAAACTAATGATGCATAAGATAATTTGGTTTAAATAATTTATTGTTTTTGGTAAAACTTAAATATGTAGGTTTCAAAAGTTCACGTTCCATATGCGTGCAAAATGTTATTTCAAGAACTTATGTCTATGAATATTTCACCACGTTTAATGTTGACTTGAATTTGTTACGACCATTATAGCTTATGCGCTTTAACGAAAATGTACCATAGCTCGTTATTCCGTATCGTATTACTAATTTTTTGTAATAATTAGTCTAGCATAAAGTTTCTTCTAGGTTAGTTTTTATAGTATGATACAGTAATATTCAGCATAAGTTGCTTTATCTATCACTGAAATTTTGATCACATAATTTGAAAAAGTAAAACTTTGAAAAGATAAAGCTTTGAAATTATGTTTTACGGCCTAGGGGTCCATCGGAAAGTGAACCGAACTCAAATAATTCAGATCGTCTATCACTATATCTACATTAAATGTAGCGGTAATAAACCAATTTTTTATTAGTGCGTCAAATGAAAAAGTATCCACTATTAAATAGTTATTCTTCGATTTCTATATATGTAAAAATTATATTTTATAAGTATAAAAATAATCTTTATACGTATCTCTCAAACTAAAATTTGAAAGTGCATTTAATGTTTATAACGTGGCAAAGATCAATTGTTTCTTTCTCACTGTCTTTCTATTTTTCTATGTTATAATTCTTTGCTCTTAAAATCTTTATATGTCGGATATTTCTCAATATTAAAAGGCATATAAAAACTTCTAACTTCACCCATTTTATATCAAATCTTATTCCAAGTTTTCATAACTACGATCATATTAAACAAGGTAGTGATCCGAATCGTTAGTTGAAAAACCAACTAGTTGACATGATTGATTGATTTATCGTTATCTTTTAAACGCCAAATTTCTTTAGCCAATCAAATTGATACAAAAAACATGTGATTATTTATTTGGCCAATTACCGTACAGTTCCGAAATTAAGCACCCCCGTATCATCTCCAAAAATATGCACCCCCACGTTTTATATTAGATTTGCCTCTCTGAATTCGCATTAATAGGTTTTAGTATATTTGATGTTTTAAAATTGTTCGTTGAATTGCCATAAAGAGTTATACAGTGGCGATCATAAATAATGGAACAAAAAAAAAATTTTAGTTAAATCGAATTATCTCATGCAATTCCGGACGTA